TCTCCCCCCCCCCTCTTTCCCTCCCTCCCATCTCCTCCACCACGTTCTCTGTGACTCACAAACACACACACACAAACACTCCACACTCCACACACCAGCGAACCAGCCAGCCAACAAATGGCGACCGATGCACGTGCTTTCGGGGTTGGAGCACAATGAATTATGAAAAAAAATCCCTAAATTACCATGTTTTTGTGGGGTCATGACGCGGTGGAATCAGGCGCTCGTCAATTTTTGGGCATATGGGTTTATTGGTTCAGTCTTACAGTCTATTCATTTGCCTTGCGTTTGACGGAAACATTACAATTTTCTAATCTTTCTTGAATAGACTTTGAAAATCGAGATGTTTGTGATCGATGGAGACGGAGGTCGCTCGGCGTCGGAGGTGGGGGTAAAAATTATCGAGAAAATGACTGCAGAAGTTTGGTGACCTACAAAGCCGTAGTGTACTTGAAAACTGCAAATTCCTCTCTGTGACCTTCAAGACAACTGTGTTTGTTTTAAAAGAGCGCTCGAATAGAATCGGACGGACATATCGGGCCAAGTTGTAGTTTTTATTTTACCCATCCATGTCAAGGAAAATCTGACTGGCTCCAAATGAATGAATACAATATCTTATGGGGCAACGTAGTGAAATCAGTCGTTCGTCAAAATAATGAAATCGTAGAAATCCACATGTACAAGCTTCAAAATGATACCAATAGCTCCATATGCCCCATAAAATTGACGAGCGCCTGGTTCCAACGTGTCGTAACAGTTCGCAATACATGAATAAATCTGACAGTGTGCACCCAAAGTGTACTGGATAATTCTTATTATAGGGTCGACAGGCCCAGGTTTCGCGTTACTCAAGCAAGACATGTTATTCAGCTTCTTTTTTTTATAGGCGTACGGGAAATAGGGCTCCCTTTGTCATACAAATAAAAAATTCAAATTCAACTTTTTGCTTTCAGGGAAAGTCAGTGCCCTGGTTTTCCATGTACGTTATTACAGACAAGACAAAGTGTTCATTTAAGAGAGGTTTACACTACAAAGCCATAGCTATTTATATATATATATATATAATGAAAAGTGAGTTATGTTTGTTTTTTAAAAGATGTAGTATGGTTTTACGGCGCTCACAACTGCATAATCAAGTCATATGAGCGCCAAGGGGTGGATGGATGTCAACAGAGAAGTCCAAAAGGGGAATCAGGCTTACTCTGCTCACCTCTCTAGCCTCAACAGCACAAAGTCTGCTTCGACTATCAAGCCCCCCCCCCCCCCCCTTGGAAATAGCAGTCCACATGAGAATGACAAACATACAAAAAAGTAGAGGAAAATGACGATAGCAATGATGAGGAAAGAAAAAGCTACAGTTCCCCCTATGTTGTTCCGGCACAGTATGAGCATAGCATTGATAAATCAGCCCATTTACAATTCTACTGTGCATAAGAACATGTTAATATCCCCCTCCCCCCTTTGGGAATAGCCTAAAGACACTTCAGTCAGTTGCACTGAAAAGTGTGGCTCCCATTCTCAAGAATAAAAACCACACAAGTTACAAACACATCTTCCACAATTTCCCTCTTAAACCAGTGGAGTGGTGTCGGTGGCCTAGTAGTTAAGCAACCGAACCCGTAATAGGGAGATTGCGGCTTTGGGGGTTCGAACCTCAGCTCGGTCCGACGTTGTGTTCTTGGAAAATGCACGTCCCATTTAGCTCGGTCCTTTCGAAGATGGACGTTAAACTCGAAGGTCTCGCCTCTTAAATAACCTAGTAGTGTTGCTAGGGGCGTTAAACTTTATAGCATTTCACCATTTCACTAACTGAGAATAACAAAGTTCTCTCTGATCAGTACCTATTTTTGAGAAATTTGACGTAAGAAATTAT